GTCTCAAATATTTTTTAGGAATCGGAGTGGCACGTAGCTCATTAGGATTGTCTGTGTCAACAAAAGTACACTTTAGACATTACTTCTGAAATAAGTTTATTGGGAGAAAAGCCAAATGCATTTCCCATTGAGCAGGACCATAAGCTTGGCCTTGCTACTGGCGAATTTTTGCAAGATCCCGAGTCATATCGATGGCTTGTGGGACGTTTGATTTATCTTGCAGTTACTCGACCAGACTTGGCTTATTTGGTTCATATTTTATCTCAATTTATGCATGAACCACGCTTGGAGCATTAGGAGGCGGCCCTTCGAGTAGTTCGTTATTTGAAAGGGACTCCCGGTCAGGGTATTTTACTGCGTGCAGACAGTGAGTTAACATTGAAAGGTTGGTGTGATTCGGACTGGGCGGCTTGTCCCCTTACTCGCTGTTCTCTGACAGGATGGATAGTGTTTTTGGGACAATCTCCGATTTCTCGGAAGACGAAGAAACAAAATACAGTTTCTCGGTCCTCTGCCAAAGTTGAGTACAGGTTTATGGCCGCAGTAACTTGTGAATTGAAGTGGCTAAAAGGTCTGTTGTTGAGTTTGGGCATTCAACATCCTACGACAATTAAATTATTTTGTGATAGTAAGTCTGCTTTGCATATTGCGAAAAATTTAATTTTTCACGAGCGAACAAAACATATTGAGATTGATTTCACTTTGTTCGGGATGCAATAAACGAGAAATTGATTTCACCATCTCATGTCTCCACATCGCTTCAATTGGAAGATATTTTCACAGAAGCTCTTGGGAAGGCTCAGTTTGATTTTCTCCTCTCCAAGTTGGGCATTCTTGAATCTCATGCTCCAACTTGAGGGAGGGTATTGAGATATATTTACGAAAAGATATTTTAGAAAAAGATATATTTAGAAAAATAATTGTTGGTATATATCTTTACATATTTAGCTTGTTGTTTCCTAGGTTCCATGCTTTTCGAAGTTCATCTGGACATAGCATATTTGATGTACAGCGACTATAAAACAAAGTTGTGTGATTGATAATAGACAAGCCAGGTTTCACCAATTCTACAAGTAAATAATTTTTTTTATAGTATTTTAAACATGTATGAAACAAAATTATTTAAAATTTAAAAAATTTAAGGATAATTAAATAATTTTCAAAATTTTAGAAAATAATAGGGACTAAAACTTCATGCATATAAATGTCATATGGACTAAAATATCTTATTTTTTATAGATACAAAAACAAAATTTGAGATATTTATAAAAATAAAAAATATATAACCCTAAAATCTTTTTGAGATATCTATTTAGCAAATTGGAAGAATAATGATGTGTTTGGTTTTTATTAGTGGATCAACAAGTCAGTTTTGCCTTGTGTGAAAATCATGGGGGTGTGGCATTGTAGTTACAATATGTATGTACACTTCTTATGTTTCGTCTTTTATTGATTTTGTACCACAGTATTTTTCAGATTTATACATATTAAATTATAATCTTACAAAAAATATAATTTAAAAATATCAAATAATAATATGGCTTAAATAAATTTTTATTTTTGTCTCTCAATTTTAAAAAATTATAACTTTTTTGAAACTTTTTAATCCTCTTTTAGAATTGTCTTATTGACACTTCAGTTTATAATGTGTGACTGATATATATATATATATATATATATATATATATATATATATATATATATATATATATATATATATATATATATATATATATATATATATATATATATATATATGAGTAATATTTGTTGTTTAATTATTCGTGCCAATTGTGAAACAATGATTAGTTATTAAATGATAAATAGAATAAAATAAAATGTTTGCATGAGGTTAAAATTGAACTCGTGCCCTCTACATAAAACAACAAGTCTTTAACCATTTATGCTATTGCATCTTTTATTAAATTAATGCCCTGGATTTTTTATATAATCATTTGTTATATGAAAACCAACAACACACAAAATCAACAACAATTGTCATCATCCCTAATTAGTATTCCAACTTTGTATATGAAGGCACATCTGCATCCAATAAAAATCCACAAATACGGTCTCTCCCTATTACCATTCTCCGTGTGTACACTTTTACCACCACAAGTTCTACAACTATACACCATGTCAGCCATGTCAACCAACGTGAAACAGCCATGTCATTGTTGCAGTTCTCTGCATGTACATTGCCACGGTTGCGAGAGGCTCTACATGCAGGAAGCTTTTAAGCACTTGGGGAAAAAGCAGTGTTTCGGCATGGCTCTATGTTTGATAACTCAACTGTTAAGAAACAAGAAATTATTGGAAAAATTGATAATCAATCAAACCAAGATAGCTCACATTGTGAAAAACATGTTAAACTTTATAACATAAATAATGTTCTATAGTTGTGATAATCCAGCAGTTTTTTCAAAATTTCTGATATATTTATGAAATTTCCAATAAGAACTCATGGAAATTTAGAAAATTCCAGTAATTTTTTGAAATTTCCGATAAACTGCATATTTTCTAAAATTTAATAACTATAGACAAGGATACAATGGTAAAAGCATGCAAAATGGAAATGTCGGATGGATAATTTTGCACATTTATTAACCATTTAAATAAATATTGTTATAACTAAGACTTAAACGTGATTTAAATAACTGTTATATGAGTTAATCCAAGCTTGTTCCAGCATTGCTCATTCTAACCATAGAAGTTTAGAACTTTATTAAATTTTAATATCAGGGATTTGCCATGTACAGTGAAAAACTGTGTCATCTGTTCATCCAATCAAATTTATGTTAGAAATTTAGGGTGTGATAATCCTGGATAACTTCGATGAATCGTGTTCGTACACTTTCCGAACAAAGTATTTCGACCCTATTCTTGTCTGGGTTCACGAAATCTTTGTGGGGATAATTCTCGAAGAAATTCTGTTTCCGACAAAAGAAACGAATTGTAATTATAGAGAGAAGGATGCGTTTTTTCTGTATGCGAGACCGAGGCCGAACGACTCCTTATATAGGAGAACAGTAATTGAAACGAAGAGACACATTTGTTCGAAACGAATATGTCCGTTGGGAAACAGTTATGTCCGTTGGAGAACAGTTATGTCCGTTGGGGAAAGGATTCAAAATTTTTGCACGGGGCGCTGCCCCGCACCCCGCCCGCTGACCAGCCAGGGGCTTCCGCCCCTTGGACCCCGCGGGGCGCTGCCCCGCACCCCGCCAGGGGCTTCGCCCCTTGGAACCCCGTTTCAATTATTCGTATTCAATTATGTATTGGCTCAACGAGCGTGCACTCCGCACTTCCCTAACTCGTCTCCGAACTTAACGCATAATTGCATCGGCCTTTAGAAATCACATTACTACTAAAATACATTGGTGATACAAAATCGCCAACAAATCCCCCCCCATTTTAGTGTAATCCTTGATTAACTCAGTATATATAGTTATATACAAGAGTACAATCTACATGTAAAACGATTAAACACATGCATAAACGAAAATGTATTACGATTGAATTTTCATCTTAGTACAAATACACATTCCAAATACTCGAAAATCGGGGTGTCATAAAGATTGAACCCGTCAATCCATTTGAACATCTGAAGATACAGTACACATATGTTTCTTACAATACTCTACTATTCATTCTTGACACTTTTACAAGCCATGTGTCCTTATCCATTAATAAGCATATAGAAAGCCAAGTCCAAGCTTCCTGAAGCGGCAAAACTTCATGCTCACATAGGTGATCCCTTTAATCTTGCACCTGCATTTGCAATTTTTCAAAGAGAACCATTAAGAAGATATACTTCAACCTAGTCATTACTTGCAGGTCTGAGCACATACCTTGGGAAGATAAACACGAGTGCTCCAATCCCTAACTATGATCTTTCCACATTGAATTTTGCTTCTAACGTTGTATTAGAAGGGAATTGGGTATACCATAGCTAACGGATTTAAATGGACTTTAATCCCATCCCAATTACCGACTTCTTCACTAAGTCTCTAGCTAACCCCTTCGTCAAGTGGTCAGCTAAGTTTTGTTGCGACCGAACAAAATCAATAGATATCACCCCATTCATGATTAATTCCCTAATCATACTATGTCTAACACCCAAATGTCTAGACTTCCCATTGTATATTTGACTATAAGCCTTAGCCAATGTGGCAGTACTGTCACAACGAATAGATATTGGTGATATTGGTTTAGGCCATATCGGAATCTCATATACCAAGTTCCTTAGCCATTCCGCTTCTTTACCAGCAGCAGCTAATGCCACAAACTCAGATTCCATTGTGGAACTGGTTATACATGTTTGCTTCTTGGAAGCCCACGAAATGGCACCTCCCCCAAGCAAGAACACCCATCCACTTGTTGAGGATGAATCTTCAGCATTGTTTATCCAACTAGCATCTGAGTAACCTTCTAACACCGAAGGAAATCCCAACTAGCTTCCGCCCCTTGGACCCCGCGGGGCGCTGCCCCGCACCCCGCCAGGGGCTTCGCCCCTTGGAACCCCATTTCAATTATTCGTATTCAATTATGTATTGGCTCGACGAGCGTGCACTCCGCACTTCCCTAACTCGTCTCCGAACTTAACGCATAATTGCATCGGCCTTTAGAAATCACATTACTACTAAAATACATTGGTGATACAAAATCGCCAACAATTTATGACAGTGATAAACAAGAATATCATACTCTACTAGATTACTACTATACTGATATTGATGCAATGTGCAAAAGTTGTAGAGATCACTGTGTAATGACTAATACTGATCCCAGTTGCATACAATGTATGGACAAATTTTACACCCAGATTCTAATCGGAAAGTTTGATCCCATAAAAAAACCTATCCTAACTAACTATTTGATTAACTAGTATGTGCTGCAGCAAGCGAGAATTCTATTCTACTAATCTGTATCAGGATGCCCCAACCTTTTTGCAGAGAGAACTATAAATACAAACTCCACAAGATTCTCTTTCCTACTTGTTATACCTGAAGATCAAGAACGGCTTCTCCTGCAGCGGGAAAAGACATCACCATCAACCCTAAAACTTGTTAATGTCAACTGATATTAAAACTCATTTGATACTATTTTACTTGCACCAACTTACCATGCATTCTCTTGACAAATCGTTCAAACTCTATGAAGTTTTGTCGCTCCAGAAGAAGCGGACTGAGCCTCAGGTATGTAAAGGATGAAAAGTGCCTTCCATCTGGATCATTCACGGGCTTGGTATTATCCAAAACATTGTTATAGCCAACTCTGTTTAGGCAAGGAAGTGCATTCTCACTGACGACGGGAAGTCCAACATCCCACCCCGCATTCAACAGCTGCAATATATAACCAAAATTTGTATTTTAGATCACTCAGCTGTTATTCTAAAACTGTACTAGTATTTGGCACATCCCAAATTTGTCTTGCCATAGAACGGCCAATTTCCTAATAAGTTCTTCCTAATGTAATTGCTTATATAAGAAATCAATTAGATACAAAATAAACTTAATCAAGGATTAGATGCTAACTTGCCAAACCAATCGCTCAGGATCAGCATATGGCTCTGGAAAGCTCTCACGTTGATTCAAAGTGTGCAGGTCAACACAAGCAATGTTTAAGCTAACTCCATTTCTCTTTAACATTGCAACAATTGCAGCATAGCCATCACGATTGCATGGATTATAATACCCGGCAGTTAATTCTGCAGCGTGACTAGCAGTCCTGTACCACCAATAAATACCTGATAGCTGTATTGAAATGAAAATATATCAAACAGACTGCAGAAGGCCACAGTACAGAATACACCTACAAAAACTTAATGAAGTACCTACAAATGGATAACTCCTAGTCAAATAGAGCAAGCATTAACGTAGCATTGATTTTACACTTTTGTTCTATTTTTTCAGGTTTTAACAGAAAATGTTATAGGTTACAAGTACAAACAACAACCAAGTCTTATTCCACTAGGTAGGGTTGGGTATATGGATCAAATGACATCATAATGCTATCATATCATATTTTTATGCAAGCCATTGTTAATGCTCTACCATATCATATTTTTATGCAAGCATTGACTTCTAGGTCTTTCTTGATAGTTTCCCCTATAGCCTTTCTTAGTTTTCCTCTGCATCTAGCAATTGGGCCATCCTCCATCGGATCTACTCTCCTCATTAGAGAATCTATAGGTCTCTTCTACTCATGCCCAAACCACCTAAATAGAGAGAATCAACCATCTTTTTCACAATAAGTGCTACCCCTAGTCACTCTATGTATCTCTCTATCTCTCTAATGCAATCATTCATAAAGAAAGAGCAACAGATTGAAAAATTATCTTCACGTTATAATTGTTTTCTATCTTACCTTTGCAGCAATGCAGGACCCCTCAAAAGCTAATTTTGCCAAAGAGAGTACCCGGTTTCCATGATCAACTAAAGCCTGAGAATACCAATTGAGAAAAAACCTGCCATAGAAGCCATCATAATCACCCCCATCGCAAAAGAAACCTGTTTCGTGTGGCTGAGAATTATAGGTACCCACGTTATCTGGCCCTCTAGCCCAAATAGTGTGGCCTCTTGCTTCTGCTGCTTTCCTAAGACTTTTCAACATATACTGATCATAGCACTGCACAGGAGCGAGAAAGATGATTAAAAAGATATTGGAGCTTCTGAGGTGAATACACTGGCAAAAGGACACCAGCAACAATAAGTAGAGAATACAAGAGAGATGGATCCACAGTCTGTGACAATACATGGCAGCAAACAATGAACACTTAACTTACTCATATACACTATCTAACACCCAACAAACTAACAGTTATCCCTATAAATTTATAGATATTAAATGAAGAGCCACATTCTAAACAAAATGCCAGAGAAAGGATGTGGTAAAAGAAAGAATTAAGGATGAAAAATAACAATTACCTTTTGAGAAAAATGTCCCTGTGCAAGGTGTTTTTAAAATAAAAAATGGTGTGTGTGTGTGTGTGTGTGGGGGGGGGGGGGGCTCAGCAGAATGAGAATTTACAAAAACAAAGATATTTGAGCAAAGGAGAAGTTCGCAATGAAAAAATGAATCTGAAAATTGTCCGAGTTAGATAACAAATGCTTAAAGAAGGAAGAAAAAAACCTTGATATTTAAAAAAAAAAAAAGTATATTTAAGAAAACAATTACCTGGAATTCACCAATACCAGGATATCTCCAACCATGCTTTACTGGACAAGATGGGTATCTTAGCTCTCCACATGGACCTAGTCCAACTTCAATCAGCGAGATAAAACCATCCTCAAAATACTCATCAAACTCTATCCGGAAATTTCTCATAAAATCGAAATAAACCTAAAAAAGAGTACAACACACAAATTTCATGCCTTAATTTTATTGGTAGAACATAAAACAAAAACCATGTCTCCTCTCACTTCCTTGAAAAACATCTCATAAGTAATTCAAATGGATTCATTCAGAGAAAAAGTGATTTAAGGCTAACACCATAATATGTATATAGGTAGGGTTAAAGCATTCTCCATCACAATGTTATCGATGGTGGATTGCATACCAAGGTGGAAAGCCAAAAATCCATCATATGGCACCCACAATCAGCCGTAAAATGCAATGGCGCCGACATATCCACGCCATAAAATGTTGCGGTCGTTGTCAAAAAATCAGCCACCGTAATCTGCCATGGCACCGTCATGGCTGATATTTTGACAACATTGTCCCATCGTGATTTAATGATTACTTCAAGTTCGGTTTATGGATTTCTACACTGATGGCTTTTCATTAAGCATAAGCAAAACTCCATTCCATACTAATCCCATTCAATAATAGTAGTAATAATAACAACAGCAGCAACAATAGTTGTTAATAACAAACAACAGAAGCAACAACAACTAAAACAGACAACAACAGTTGTCATAGTCATATTATAATGTCGTTATTACCTCCACAGCATTCCGACCTCTCAAAACACGTTCCTTATCTATTCCCCAAGAAAGACATTCAGGGTTGCGTCTTCCCTCTCTATCAGTGAAAAAAATATCCGGATTGCTCCTACCAATTTCAGCAACCCAATGGGGCAATGGAATACAAACATCATCACCAACATTGCCTCCACATTCATGAAAAGACATGACAACCTAGTGAAATGCAAACAAGACAACTCACTATCAAAGCCAGACTGAATCAGCAAGAGAGTGAACCACAATGAATAGTTTATAAAACTCACCTGCAACTTAAGCTTAAGCTCACGCACCATTTGAAAGAGTCTCTTGTAACCATTCCAATTATACTCTTGTGGAGTATGTGCTTCCACTATTCCCCACCAGCAGTCTACCATAACACCATCAACATTTGCAGATTTCAACACTCTCAGCTGCTTTAGTAGACCATCCGGATCAACAAGCTCACATTTAATATTGATCACTCCCAACTGTCAATAATATAGATAAAATATGGTATATAATGTGTACAGATGATTTCCAATGATAATTTATTTATTTCACCTAACAGTCATATAAAAATTCCAAACAGCATATTGAGAACAACATATTAAGCATAACTACTTACTACAAGCATTTTAAGAAACCAAGAAACAAAACTTGAAACAAATGGAAATTAAGAGTAAAATCATAGCTTACCGGTAGCATCACATAAACAGGAACATACGGGGACCCAGCAAAATCACGTTCTGGTAATCTGGCTGGAATGTCAAAAATCTGCAAAAGATAAAAGATGTAAATCAACGCCAAAAACCTGCTAAAGGCACCATAATTATATGCAAAATAAAGGAAGAATATGCCCTTTCGGAAAATCATTCATCTTTCTTAACTATAGAGACTGATTTTCAATGTGGAGATAACAACATTCTTTCACTTCCTTCTTCTTTTCACTTTCTCTAACAGATTAGCGCTTACAACAAGAACAGAAAATAGGGAAATAAAAGATAAATCTAGAGTTCTGCAGAAGCACGGAACCTCTAGCCTAAACTCATTCCACTTTTTCTTCTAAATTCATGCCAGCCATACACCATCTATCCTTCCCTCCTAAATTCTCCTTCTCCCAAAATGAGTTCACTCCCCACTAATCTTCTCCAACTCACAATTCATTAAGCTTAAACAAAACAAAAATCCCATTAATTTCAATTAAATACCCCTGACAGACCTCACCCTGTGTTTATGTTCATACTTCCCAAGCCTTCCTAGCGGCACATGCCATAGTAGAAGGGGTCTAATACAGCCAATGGATCAAGTTGAAAAAATATGAGGTCAAGAGGGTTACAATGACAACCCAGATAAAATTCACAAAGCAATATAGATGTTATATTTTCAATATATAATTTTTTCATTAAATGCCAATTTAACATGTTCTGCATCTAAAATGCATGAGTGAAAATTCGATATTGATATGTAAGGAAATAATAATAACTATAATAGTAATAATAGTAATGTAGCCACCAAATCACTCCATCAGTATATTACCACAGCAACCAGAATAAACTTATTTCTAAAACAAATCATTGAGAGGCCAAACAGCTTCATTAAATACCTGCTTCTCATTAATGGTATCTATTGAACCACCAATCACTGGAGGATTGTCTCTTTGCACTTCTCCGTCCCCTAACATAGATGTTTGAGACCGGGAACTTGAGGATAGATCATAAGGGGATGGAGATGGAGATGGAACGTAAACACCTTTCATTGGAGATGCATTGTACTCTAAAGGGCTCCTAATGCCAGAAGCAACGCCCTTGAGGGAAACAGACGGAGGATGTTGGGAAGGCACATGGGATGATGATGAAGGTGGGCTCCTAATGCCAGAAGCAACACCCTTGAGGGAAACAGATGGAGGATGTTGGGAAGGCACATGGGATGATGATGAAGTAACAACTGCAGCATTGCCGCCAGCTGGTGTCTGACCCTGTAAGGTTGAGAAAAGAAGGTTCCAATATGGGTGTTTTTCTGAGATTTGTCAGAACTGAAATTCGCAGATAAATAGCAGTAATAAGATTTGCAGATACACAATGGTAACAAGCCATTGAAATTTAAAAATATCAAATAGGTTTGACTTGACTAAGCCAAGAACTCAACTATATAACAAGTGCCAATAATTAATGCAACACTAAATGTAAAACAAAATATTTTCTCAACAATAGAGCTCTCTCTAAAATGTTTATAAGGGTTTTTCGAAGAATACAGAACAGGGAAAAAATTATCAGGTCATAATACCTGTTTTCATGGAGAAACTGCACATGATGCCAGATGCAAGACGAAAGTCACAAAATCCAATTAACATTAGAATTAGAATCAGAAAATAATAGCTTTAAAATTGACAGGTATACCTGAGATTTTGAGGGAAAAGTAGTGCCATCTGGAAGAACAACCCATCCAGCTTCCCTTGCTAGCGCAGCAATTACATCATTTATGTCAGCCCTAACCCTAAGATTATAATTACCATGCCTTCGAAGCCCTGCCAAGATCCGTGCAGTGATAGCCCTCCGGCGCCTTTCTCTTAGCTTAGTTCTCTCTTTCTCTTCTACCGGTCTAGATCTTCGATTACCTCCACCCGGAGTGCCTACTTGCTCTTGAAACTCGTATTGCTGCTGAAACCTATTGTCATCAGCTCGAGCTCCCATCACACTCCCACCATCAAACTCTGCCACTTGTAAAGCATTCCCATGCTCACCTCCATTTTCCTCGTAATCTTCATCCTCGTCATCCTCGTCTTTCACACCCATTCCCATTTCGTCATCATCCTCACTCATTCCAACCAGCCTTTGCATATCAGTTGCCATAATCCAAAATCTGAACCCTCGATAATTTAATTTAATTTAATGTATAAATATCCAACCAATTCTGTTGATTCTCAAACCCATCAAAATTTATCAATGCCCTCCATTTAAAACCTAAAATATCATGTACAAAGGAAAATGTACTCTTTCCTTACATTAAACAACCCTTTGAAGGCAATTTTGTTGTCAAAAATAAGGAAAATGCCAAAATAGGACACCTTTGTAATTAAAATCACTACTTAATTCACTAAAAATGTTTTTTTTTCTCACTTTCCCTGACTCAATTTAAGCGTCCATACCAATAATTTACAAGAAAAACAAAATGCCGAACCATTTTGTGATCAAAAGCATGAATTTACGTAGATTTACTAAAAATCGCTACGAGGTTACCATCGAGATCGAGATCATGATAAAATTAATGAATTCTCCGTCGATCGGTCTTCTTCTCGCTAGATCGTTAAGAACTCCGTCGGTACCGACATTACCGGCGACCGTCGCGGAGTTCCTGGATGGATCGGCGGAGAATAAGGAGAATCCGGGAGGATGAAGAGCCGGAGAGTGGACGGCGGCTCCGGGAGATCCCGGCGGCGAGAAAGGGGTGAAGTCTGGCCGGCGGGGATATGGGAGCGAACGTGCGAGTGAGGCATGCGAGATGCGTCTCACGAGGTAGGGTTCTCGCTCGTGTCGTGTGTGTGGAGACGAGCGTGTTTGAGAATTTGGCACGAACGAGGCGTGCGAGATAACATTCAAGTACCTCGCATACACGTGCGATAGAATTTATGTTAGCTTAAATATTTTTTCTTAATATTTGACATTGTAAAATAATTTGAGTGAAGACAATATTCATTTTGATCTTCACAAAAAACTACAATCTTTAAGTTATTCCCAAAAAAAAATCTTGTTTATAAAATTTATTTAGATCATATTTATATTTAAACTATTCAGATTTAAAAAAATATAAAAAAAAATCAAAATTGATTTTTAAGAAGAATTAAAAGTATTGTAATATGGTGGAAGAATTGATTTTTAGATTTTGTATTTTATCGCAAATGTTGCGGATAGCAAGAGTCGTCACCGACTTTTCTTTTATCCAATAAAGGAAATGGTGAAAAGAACATGAAAGACATTTTGAGAATTTTCTTGAGTTCGGGGGTAGATTATGAAAAGGGAAGGTGTTAGCATCATTTTCATCCGTAGTTATCTACAGGCTCTTAATTGTTAGCTCACTTTGTTTGAGAATGCTTTGCGTTTGTGTATGTTTGAAAATATTTTGAAAGCGCCTAAGTGCGACAATTTTGTAATGATTCTCGTATAGTTGAGAATGTATACAAAATGTTTGCTTTGAAAATATTTATTGGATGAATGCATTTGTTTTGGAAAGATGTTTTGAAAATGTCAATGTAAGGTAGTTTGCTTTATAATAACTCTTGTATCAGTCCTCAAGAGTTTTTATAAAGTGTTTTGAAAGAAGTTATTTTGAAAGCGTGAAGTGTAAAGATTGTTTTAGTTTGTCAGCAAGTGATTACGAGCGATCTACCTACTCAAAAAGCCTTTGTTCTTTTCCTCCTCCTTTAGATAGTGATATTCTACCATTAGTTAGTAGAAAGCCTTATCATTGAATGTTAGGGACAGACGTGGGTCATCGTCAAATCATAAAAGGCAAATATGGAAACTGTGTGACTCTTACAGTATGATTCAAGGCGTGAGGAAGCTTGCTATCGATTGAAGCACGATCCTAGGATGCCCAACAAACAATTGGTATGATCAGAATGGCTTGAGAGGGCCTGAATCTTGGAAATCAGTTTGCAACTTTTCTTGAATTTTTTGAAATTCGTTCTCTCCTTTGCACGCCTCCAACCTCCTTGTTTTTGGTCTGCACTTGTTCCTTATGTATCCAAGAATGTATTAGGGTTACAGCTTTGTATTAAATCTTTTCCAATTATGATTATTGATTAATGATTTAATCCTTGTGCAAATCTTTCCAAATCAAGCAAATTTAATCTTTTTATGTCCATTTTGCACCTTGCACGATTTGATCTTACTTCCAGCTGTGTAATGGACCTAATCATGCACAAAATCTCAAGATTTAATTAGCTTTTGATATTTTCATTATTTTATTTTGATTTTATTTGATTTAAATGAAATAAAATCAAAATAAATGACAAAAATAAAAGAATGACAAGTGGAAGGGCTCATGGGTCGTGGGTCACATTACAAACTCAGTGTAAGCATAAAAAGTTGGGGCCATTTGACAAAAAATGCAATTTTGGACACATTTGACTTTTGGCAATTTTGCAAAAAGGGTCAACTTCACCAATGCACAACTCCCTCAATTTTAACCCTAGAGAGGTGTTCTTGGACTTTTTAAAAAGCTTAAGATGTCCTCTAAGCAACCCTTTTGGTATCATCTCAATTGAGCCTTCCATGTTCATGTATGAAGCTTTGACCCAAAAGGTGTTTTTGTTGACTTTTCAAAATGACCTATAATGTCCAAATTCATATCTTCTTGTGAGTGCATATTTTGAACTTCGGAGATGAAGATGAATTGTAGGGAATTACATCCTTTTCAAAATGAGCTTTGGATGGGTCATTTTTGATAAAGTATGAGCAAGTTATGCTTGATCAAAGTTGAGTTGACTTTTCCTACAAAACCCTAATTTAGCAACTTTTGGATTTTGATGAATTGTGAGCAATCCTTGAGAAATAATGATCAACCCTTGATAAAATGATGAATAATACTTCAAAATAAGAATGTTGACCAAAAATCTTGAAGTTTGACTGTATGTGGGACACAATTGACTTTTGCCCTAACACAGTCGATTTTTAGGCCTTTGAGCAATTGACTGAGCAAACTTCCTTTGCAAGGCTTGAAACTTGGCATGGATGATCTTGAGAACATATTAGGACAATGGTGAGCATCTGGGATCCTTTGGACTCAAACATCTTGATGCAAAATAAAACCCTAATTTGAGGTAGACTGCCTTAGGAGGAAGTTTGTCTGGTCAACCCTTGAACTTCCTTGAGCAATTTGAGGACCTCACTTGACATGTATTGAGAAATATGGGAGAGAAAATTTTGGGGTACAACAACTTTAATCCCTAACTTTTTCCTGGACTATCCTTTCAGATTTTCAGTCCACTGGGATACCCTTTTTTGCCCAAGCCGCCTTTTCAGGTTTTCGACTTGCCGGGTGTACAATTTTATTTATATATCCCTAATTTTTGCCCGAACTCTTTTGGTTTGCCGGGATGCCCTTATTTTTGCCTAGGCCAGTCAACCTAGCGAATCTTTTTTCATGCATAGTATTTTCCAACTATGTATGATTTCACAGGGTACAAAGAATAGTCACTGTCCATAGTAGTAAGTGTTGCAACACTGCCAGAAAATGTTGACTTGATCATACATGGCCCTTTACTGGAACTCATGGTCAATGCCCCAAGTGATTCAGATGGAGTTCTGCCCCTGGCTATTCGACACTTTTGAGAGATTCCTTGAATCTTGACTCGAATTCCCCCTGATCAGTTAGACACCATGTCATGCCCCTTGATCATGAAAGGCCTGTTATTGGAAATGTTTTTCCATCTGAGGTGATTTTGTTCATTGAGAGGATTTTCGTTCATTGAATATCCGTCGTGCGAATTTCTATGTTATCAAACAATTAGTCATATGCGAACAATGGCATTTAAAAATGCAAAGCTTATGTATGTCTTGAAGTTTTGAAAATGAATTTTTAGTAAACAAACAAAATTTTGTAAGAATATGAATTCAACTCAGGATTTATAGTAAACCTTACAGGAGTCAGGATACCTTTTTGCAACAGTATACTTTCGAACTAACCTATGCTTCAGTTAGGACTTTTAAGGGTTGTAATGTGGTATGGTTCACGGTTTAAGAAACAAAGGATAAAGGATCGAAATATATTTGTACCCACCCATTCTTCGTGATGTTCTTCAGTCCTATACTCAGTTAATTGTGCGTTTAGATCCCAATTGAGTTCTGGAATCTTGGCCTTGATATTCCGGTGATGGTTCATGTGATATGGTGGGAGAACTGACTTGAGGTTTTGCGTTTGTATTCGCAAATGTTGCGGTTAGCAAGAGTCGCCACCGACTTTTATTTTATCCTAAGGAAAGGTTAAAAAGCACAGCAAAAACCTTTTGAGATGTTTTCTTGGGTTCAGGGAGTAGATTATAGAAAGGGAAGGTATTAGCACCCTTTCTATCCATGGTTATCCATGGGCTCTTAGTTACTTGCTTAGATCACTTGCCTTTTGTTTTCAATTGTTTTAAATGGTGCTTGAGTGTGTGGGTTTGAAAATGTTTTGAAAAGAGGCCAATGTGGTGGCAACCTTTGTAATGATCCATGTGGGGATGTATACAAAGATGTATGTCTTTTGAAAGAGTTTTCATTTGTTTTTGAAAGTTGTTTTGAAAGTGTAGTGATGTGTGATTTTGAAATTAGGCAAGTGTTTTGTTTTGCAAGTTGATTCAAGTAACTAAGAGGTTATCTACTCCTAAATTTCTCAAAAGATCATTGCTATACTTTAACCCTTTTAACAAGTTTGCTCCACCATTGTATTTGGTGGGCAACCTTGTGTTAGGATGTGAAAGGGACGGGCGCGGGTCATCGTTTTAGACCATAATTGCAACGACGTTAGATGTCTTTGAGCAATTTCTCTAAGGGACTTGATCATTTGTTTTTGTTTTGAAAAGTTTTGTCGAGGGACTATGATCATTCAAATTGTTTGCTTTGCCCAAAGAAGTTCAACATGCAATATGGCCCATTTATTTGAAGGCAACAAGTGGAATACCCTAGGGGGTGCAAGTGTGATTTGTGTGTCCATTTTCATGCTTGTTTATCTTGTATTAGGTCAAACTATTTTTTATCGTTTTTTCGCATACAAACCCTAATTCTAACATGTTATCATTAGAAAGCAATAAAGTGCGAAATTAAAATTACTAAGCTATTACAAAACCAAATATGGGAAGGGGGGTACAAATGTTCAAATGGGGATATTGACAAGAATTTAAATCTAAATTATTACATCATTTTGAATATTTGCAAGGTAAATAAATTGCATAATTAAATGGAAATTAAATAAATATGTGAAATGCAAAAAGAAAGTTTTTATGTGTATGAGAAAATATTATTTATGTAAAAGAGAAAGGAAAATAAAAATGTATTATTTTTTGGAGTATTTTGAATTTAGGGCAAAAAAACCCTAATTTTAAAGAAAAAGGTATTATTTTCTAATTTAATACAACTATTTATTCATTATTTATAAAAATAAAATAAAATGAAGTGTATTATGGAAAAAGGTATTTTTATATCAAATATTAATAAAAATGAAAAAAATTCAAGTATTTTTATATTTTGTCTTAAATATATTAATAATCACATATATATATATATATATATATATATATATATATATATATTAAACCCTAAATATGTATTATACACAAAAATAAGTATTCATTTAATATTTTAATAAAATAAATAAATAAAAGAGTATTTTTTTTGTGTGAAATATTTTCAGAAGGTAAATAAAAATAAAAATGTATCTACACCATTTTTTCTATTTTATTCTAATAATGGTATATATATATATATATATATATATATATATATATATATATATATATATATATATATATATATATATATATATATATATATATATATATATATATATATATATATATATATATATATATATATATATATATATATATATATATATATATATATATATATATATATATATATATATATATATATATATATATATATATATATATATATATATATATATATATATATATATATATATATATATATATATATATATATATATATATATATATATATATATATATTATGCATGAATAAGGAAACAAATCAAATAAATATGCCATAAATTCAGAAAATGATGGAAAAAATATTTTTAATTTTTTAATGCCATGAGAAAAAATAAACAAAGTCAATCAAAAAAGAAAAAGTCAAAAATGTTAAGAAATGAACAAATGGGCTCAGGGGGGTGTGAATCAAAAAAGGTGGTGTGAAAAGTAAAATAACACAGGCCCAGCCCACTGATCATTGTCTTCAACCTCCAGCTTCAAACATT